ATATTCTAGGACAGAATGCTTGCATTATGCTTGCATCTTAAAATGAAGCACAAAGCTATAAATAAATTTTGCACTAATGTGGAAAGCTTTGTTCTGTCTGAACGTAGGATGGAGGTGGAGGGTAAATTTACACTCTTTCTGCTCAAGGTATTTTCAGTGGAACATTTAATATATCTCCTTGATTAATCTTCACAATATGACAGATGAAAGATATCAGGTGACTTGCCGAAGGCCACCAGCAAATGGCACCCTATGATTGCCTAGCAGATCCACAGTTTCTCCATCACGACCAGGTGTCCATACTAAACACAGGCTGCAGGACACAGAAATGAGCTTTCACATTTAAAAACAAGTTAAGAGAATCCTGGAAATGACACGACCCTCCATTCTGATCCACCCAGACCACCAAGTCTCCATTTCTTTCTCTAATTCCTGCCTATGGAATCTGATAACTGCCCACTTAAAGTCAAAACAAGGCATGGGGTGGTGTGGTTACCTGTCCAATTTCATTTGCTGTGTCACCTTTGGCGCCTACTTGAGCAAGTGACAGAGAAGTGGAGAGACAGATTGGGGAGAAGAGGACATTGCCCACTGGCTCCTTTTCACACAGTTGTTTGAACAGGTCAACAGCAAAAGCCGAATTTGCCAGTCGCAAGGCATCCATCCTGGGCCTGGAAATGAAGACAGAGGAGAGGTGAATCTTCAATGTTTATTTGAAGTGTTCTCAACTGCATTCTGTCAGCACAATAAGAATTCTATTTCAACAAAGTAATGGTCTTGGGTAGGAAGAAGGAAATTCCGAAAAAAAAGCCAGTTGTAAAGAGAGCTGTGGACAAGAGTCCGAAGGCATGTGAGGTCTTCATTGTGTGCCACTCTGCCCAGAATCTCCGGGCCTGGTCAGCCACAATGGCCATGGTCCAGAGCCTAGACGTCACACTATCTCTTCATATTAGTGGTCAAGTGGTTGACAGCACCAATCAAAATCAGTCGGTTTTATTTACCACATATTGTTTCAATTAGAGTTTTGTTTGGGTCATACAAAATTGACTTTTTTGTAGATTGCAATCAGTCATATTGCATCAGTTTGACATGGTCCGGTTGATATTTATTAAGTGATATAAGTGTTTCCTCCAAAAAGACATGTTGAACTCCTGATTCGTAACCTGTGAATGTGACCCTAATTGGAAATGGGGTCTCTGCAGATTTAATTGGTTAAGATAAGGTCATATTAGGTGGGCCCTGACCCAGTATGACCAGTGTCCTTAGAAGAACAGGAGAAAAGTCACAAAGACAGACACACCAAGAGGGAAGATGGCATCACACCAAGAGGGAAGATGGCATATGTGTACACAGACACAGAAAGCAAAGATGGCATCGAACACCCCCAGGCAGCACCTGAGCCCTGGTGTCAGGGAGAAAGCTCCACTATTCCAGATGGGGGACTTCCCTTGGCCAGGACCAGCAGATGCACAGGATGGCAATGTACACCTTATCCCCGAAAGAAATTCATAATGCAAAGCCATGAGAATAAGATCAAGGAATGGAACCCTGATCATCAAATATTTCCTCAGAATTCTTTGATGGGACATATTGCTTGCATAGAATGGACTCAAAAATATAATATGTCTATATCTCAGGTCTGGAAAAGCAAGTTCATTAGCAGGAAAAAAAAAGCCTGTTGACCCTATTCATTTCATGCTCACTGGTCATCCCCCCATCCACTGACTTCCTCCTTCTGTTTATGTCTCTGGTAAGTTCAGCAAATGCACTCAGCCAGAGCACCCCTTACAAACCTGCTACAGGTGAGCTAAAGTCATGATGAGCTTTAAAGCCCACAACCGTCTTCTCCTCTTGAAGCAGGGGCAGACCTAAGGGATGACATCACATCCCAGTGGAAGCTGACCAGCATTAGGTGTTACTGAGACCACTAGAGTGTCCTGAGACAAAAATGAAAGACTGTGGAGTGTTTCAACCAGCACATCCACCACTAGGGAAATTATAAAGAACTCTTCACAAAAGGTTTGGGGGAGCCAGGCATGGTGGCACACACCTGTAATCCCAGCAGCTCGGAAGGCTGAGACAGGAGAATTGCAAGTTCAAAGCCAGCCTCAGCAACAGCGAGGTGCTAAGCAACTCAGAGAGACTCTATCTCTAAATAAATACAAAATAGGGCTGGGGATGTGGCTCTGTGGTCAAGTATCCCTGAGTTCAATCACCAGTGACAAAAAAAAAAAAAAAAAGGTTTGGGGAATGTGTGCAAGAGACTTTCAGGAGGTCTGGCTTCTTCCTGCAGCACATTTAACATTGACAATGTTGAATTCATCTACAACTAACATTCAACATGTACATGGAGTCATGAGCTATTTCTTCACCAAACTTAGATCCCTGCAAACTTTTCAATGCTTCCACAACTTGAGGCCTAATCACACTGAGATTAATATGAAAACATACAAACTGCTTTAGCAAACACAAATAGTTCTCCCTAGCAAGGGTTTACTAATCCCCCAAGAAGACAAATGATAATAATTTTGCATAGGCAATAAAATCAACTGTGATTTTAGTGATTTCTTCTGGCCACAAAAATTGTGCTGAAGAACATGAATTAATTTGTTGAAGGACTTTGACTACAAACACTAAGAATGGGTCCAGGAAGTGGACCAGAAATAAGGAAATAACCCATTTTACCATTTTGTTCGACTAAAACATCATTCATTCATAATAACACTTTGAGATATATTTACCCTAAATGGCTCCATGAATACAGCTTTTATATAGCTAATTACACAACACATGCTATATGTAATACAAGACTTAGACATCAGGGTGCATGACTTACATTCTCCATCAGGGACCTGGATCTGAGAGGCTGTCCCTCTCAGTGAGTTCCTTTCTTTGCATGGTTGTTCTCAGTGTGTGAGTCCAAATCTGTTCACCTTCCTGTCCTGATGCTGACTGGATCTTTTCTCAGAAAATTTTCTATGCCAGTGAGTAAGAGCATACAGCCCTTAATATTTAAGGTCCCTATACAGCATCACGGGTTGATGCTGGCCAAATGTATCAGAAACATGTACATGGTAAGATTGTAGTGGCACACAACCACCAATTAAGAAATCAATGAAACACTGCATGATAAATCTCATCAGCTGTTCAGCGTTTAGTCCCAAATGACTTAAAATACTATAGAGCTGATCTGAGACAGCTCAAGCCATGACTTTGGCCCACTGCCACCACTGTGTTGCAAGACAATCAAAGCATTTAAACAAATCTCAGCAATGTTAGCAATATATTTCCAGGATACTGTCAAGCTCCTACACAGATCATTTTGTATCAAACAAATGTTATAAAAAAAATTTAGGTACAACAGTAGAGATGAGCAATTCCCACACAGTGAATTTACACATCTAATCACTTGTGTTCAAAGTATTAAAATTGCTATAATATTTTTCCATTTTATTATCATCACCTTGATACAGATAGATTTATCTGTCTTCATGAAAACCTGGTAATGACATTAATAATGATAAGTTTGTTCATAACTCCAATATAGAAAACACCACACCTTTCAGGTACTTCAAAGTTTTGAAAGTTTTTTTGTTTCTTTCTTTCTTTTTTGTGTTTTTTGCGGTGCTGGGGATCAAACCCAGGGCCTCATGCGTGCCAGGCAAGCACTCCACCACTGAGCCACACCTCCAGCAAGGCACTTTTATTTTAACCAGAGAATATTGAGATGGAAATTTAATCAGTAAAACAAATGCAGTTTTAAGAATGTATATTAAAGCCGCTTATTTTTGCAATTTTTTGTGAAGGTGTTCTAAAATCATAAACTTCTAAAGTGGTTCAAAATCTTGGAGTGGGATCTAGTCTGGCTCCGCCTCTTCATTTTGCAAATAAAGAAAGTGAAGCAGGATGAAGATGAAGTGATTCTCCCAGGCCACCCACGCAGGGAATGAGTGGCAAAGCCAGACCTGGAACGCTTTTCTTCTACCTCCACGCCTAGTACTTCCCACCACACCTTACCACCTTCTTTCTTGGCAATTCTGGCTTTGCTGGCATTTACTCTCTCAGAAGTTTCTCAGGTTCCAAAATCCCATGTGTCCCGAATGACCCCACTTAAAAACACCAAGACATCCTGTGTATTTTTTTTTCATCAACCCATAACTTTTTGCTAATGATTTTCTTACTTGAAGGCGCTCTGGTTCTTTCTGCCATTTACATTGCAAACTCTTAATATTATAAAGCTGTCATTTAATGGGCAGGTCAAGCACTGAGGCCGGCATTCAGAAAGCAAAGGTGAGCACAGCAGGCACCTGCCTCTATCTATCTATCAGTCAACTGGCTGGGGCAGGTGAAGTGTTTAGATAAGGAGCACAAGTTACCATGGAAGCACTTAGCAACACCAAACCCATACTGGAAATGTCAGTAGACAGTGACATCCCATAGACAGTGACATCTGAATGAGTCACACTCAAAGTGAGTCCTAAAAGAAAAGTAGAACTTAGCCATGCAAAGATATGGGCCAGAAAGAACTAGCACAATTCAGAGACTGCGAGTGGCCCCAAATGAACAGAGACTCATATAGTAGAATGGGGGAGGGGTACTCATTTCCCTAGACTGCTAGCTTATCACTGTCCCCTCTATAAAGTTTGTACGGCATCTAATCCAATGGGCCCTAAACTTTTTGTCTTTAGGCCATTTGAGTGAAATGAAGGTCCTTTGGAGAGGGTGACTCTACACCCCACTTTGCCTGGGACAGTCCTGGTTCACATCTGTTGTGCTGGCATTAGGAACTGTGCCCCATCACTGAAAAGCATGTTATCTGAACACTATGGATTCTTCTACTCATAGACCATCTACCTCACTCTTCTGCACACAGGCATGTGTGTGAACACACACACACACACACACACACACACACACACCTATATGTATAGTTCTTTCATTCTTTAAAAACTGAATATTGACTCTGTCCAGGTACTGAGGTATCTCTTAACCTGCCTCATTTTACAGAAGGAGCCACATATTGAAAAACTCTTTCTTGGGTCTTTAGTGCAACCAATACTTGGACAACACCTCGAGAAATCTTGCTATTATAATATAATGGAATGGAATGCCTAAATACTATAATGGAATGCCTAAATACTCAGCCTCTCTGGTTCACATTCTAACTCTAGGAGTAAAGTCAGTACCTGGTTAAGAAAATGAGATTCTTTTTACCTTTTTCAGAGTGGAAGAATATTATGAGGATTAAATGAAGTGATTATGGGAGTAAATGAGTATGGAAAGTGCCTTAGTAGGAGGAAAGTAGCTGCAGCCATGAGTAATAAAGATCATTGCTTAGCCTTCCAGTGGTAGAGGTGTCTCTGCTTGGCCAAGATATTCTGAAGCATCATGTCTGCTCCTGTTTCCTTAAAAGCCTGTCCTTGACCACAGACCATCCCACTGCCACCTTATAATAAATGAATGCCGAACTGGGCCACATCAGAATGGCCCAAATTGCTGAGACTGCATGCCCCAAAGTCAATTTGCAAAGACCAGAAAGACTGAAGTGGCACAATTCAAGGCGTTAGGAAGCAAAGATAAAGCTGCTGACTCATTTTCTATGGCGAGTCCTTTCCTCAGACAGACTCCCTTCTCTCCACTCATCAAAGAACCCTCCAACACTGTCCCTGACTGACGGGGACTAAGGTGCAGAACCCACTTACTCTAATCGAAAACCTCTTGGGAGATGGAGTGGGTCAGAAGATGTTAAGAGCCTGGGGTGACGGTGGAAAGCCGGATCTGTTTCAGCAATCCCACCACAAACTGTGAGTCTTCGCGTGGCACCACTTCCACCCTGTGGTCCTCATCTACAAAACAAGAGGGCTCCACACACATGTGTCAAGTCCTCTAGTTCCGAGAATTCAGTTACAAGTCTATGGAACAACATGACACACGTTAAATGGATTTTAGGTTTGATTAGCTTAAAGGAAGCCATAAAAAAATAATAATAATAAAATAGATCCTATGAGGAAAAAAAACTACAAACCAGCTCAATCTAAGACAACTTAAAAGTCCAAGAATCCACTTTGTTTAAAGTATTCCAAACCCCAGAAGTGGAGAGGGAAAATACTTTCTGCCCAAAACCATGCATTTGACGAGTAGATGAACATTCATGTGATGCTTAAAGCGCCATAAAGTAGAACGATCCATAAAGTCTGAATTTTGACCCCACAGTGCGCGCACACACCTTCTCAACTTTCTCCAGCTTTAAGAACCACGCCCTTTCTGGGACGAGCATTGCAAAATCCACCCGGAGTTCCAAAGCAGGGCTGAAAACGTCCTCCGTGAACCACTGCTGCGCTCCACCACCACCAAACCCTCTCGGCGGGCTATTTCTCCACCTTCTGACCGTCCGTGGAGTGATTTTAAACCCCACAGGGCGTTTCTGGGGTCCAAAGGGCTGGAAGCTGGAACCACCGCTATGGGGGATGCAAGGCAGCGGGCCACCCACGAAAGAAACCCATCCCGTCCACTGGTTCACCACCTCGAGTCAGCTCCAATAACCATCCCATGAACTGTCCTAGAGGGGAAGTCCCCACTTTGCTTACCTGGAGTTGCAGTTATCCTGGGGAAAGAGCGACGAGAGAAAAGGCAAGCGCGGAGCTCAGAGGCCTGGATGTGAAAGCGAGACGCGGTGGCCTGCAGGAGCCGGCTCACCTGAGCCCCGCCCGCCACTCCCACCTGGCCACGCCCAGCTGCGCCCTCGGTCCGCCCACCCGGGCGCTCTGGGCTCTTACTCACGCCTCTTGGCAGCTAGTCCGCGATTGAAAGAGATGATTCAGGCTGAAGTTGCTGCTGTCTGCACAGCTTCGAGGGCCTCGGACATGCTCAGGCAAGAAGTGGCTGTCGGTGAGTCCTGCCTTGGGCTAAATACATGCATGCATCAGTAAATAAAGCCAACCCTACTAGACAACACAGGTCCAGAACGCGAAGCATGAAATAGAAGGAATCTGTGTGTGGTGGTC